TGATTCTATGAAATTAGTATCATCCAGATACCCCAAAATAGCAAAGCCCCAACAAGGAAAGAAAACTAATGGACCAATTACCTAGTAAACATAGATGCCAAAATAGCAAGATTCTAGCAAATCACATCCAACAGCACATTTTAAGGGTCACCACTAATTACCAAGTGGGCTTCATTTCCAAGATGCAAGGCTATTTCAGCACACATAAAACAAAGATAATTTGTCACATAAACAGGTATAAAACCAAGAACCACAGGATTATTAGGCACAGAAAAAGCATTCAATGAAATCTGGCATTCCTTCATGATAAAACCCTTAAACATCTAAGCATCAAAGGGACATTCCTCAAAATAATAAGAGCCATCTATGATAAACCTACAATCAACATCATACTTAATGAGCAGAAGCTGAAAGCACTCCCCCAAGGACCAGAATGAGACAAGAAGGAACACTCTCACCTCTCTTACTCAACATAGTACTGGAAATCCTAGCCAGAGCAATCTAGTAGGAAAGGTAAATTAGAGGTATCTAAATAGATAAAGATGAAGTTATCTATTTTTGTAGATGATATGATTCTATACCTAAAAAACCCCAGAGAGTCTGAAAAAAACCCTCCTTGTTCTGATAAATAACTTTGATAAAGTCTTGGGATGCAGAAGTCAACGTGCAAAAAACAGTTGCATTCTTATACACCACAGATAGACCAAGGTTCAAATAAAAACACAATCCCTTTCACAATAGCCATAGGAAAGCAAATAACCAAAGAGGTGGAAGATATTTACAGAAGAACTACAAAACACTGCTCAGAGAAATCAAGAATGACACAAACAAATGGAAAAACATTTCATGTTTTCAGACTGCAATAATCAATATTTTCAAGATGTCCATTCTACCCAAGGCACTCTACAGATTCAATGCAATTCGTAACAAATTGCCAATATCGTTTCTCACAGACCTAAAAAAAAATACAGCAAATCATATGGAAGCAAAAAGAAGCTCAAATAGCTAAAGTGATCCTCAGCAAAAAGAATATAGCCAGAGGCATCACACTTTCAGACTTTAGAGTTTGCTACAAGTCTACAGTAACCAAGACAGCATGATAAGAGTACAAAAATAGACACATATACCAATGGAATAGACCAATGGAATAGAGTCTGGAAATAGAACCATGGACCTTCAACAATCTCATCTATGACAAAATCAATGAAAACAAACATTTAAAAGGAAACTATTTAGCAAAATGATGCTGGAAAAACTAACTAACCACATGCAGCAGAATGAAACTGGACCCCTACCTATTACCATCTACAAAAAATTAACTAAAATGGATCAAGGACTTGAATATGAGACCTCAAGTTATAAGAATTTAGAAGAAAACTTGGGGAACATCTTCCTGGACATTAGCATAAGCAATGAACTCATGGCAATGTTCTCAAAAGCAAATGCAGCAAAAACTAAGACTGGCAGGTGGGATCTTATCAAGCTGAAATGTTTTTGCTTGGTAAAAGAAACAATCAAGATAGTAAAGAGACAACCCACAGAATATGGGGAAAATATTTGCAAGCTATGCATCCAACAAAAGCCTAACATCCAGGATCTACAAAGAACTCAAACTAATTCCTGGGGGAGGGTGGGAGCAACTCCATTAAAAAGTAGGCAAAGGACATGAACCTTTCAAAAAAAGATACTTAAGCAGCCAACAAACATATGGAAATAAATGCTCAGCCTCCCTTATCAACATAGAAATGTAAATCAAAACTACAATAAGAAACCACTTCACCTTACACTGAACAGAATGGCTATCATTAAAAAGTCTAAAAACTGTAGGTGTTGATGAGACTGCAGAGTAAATGGGAACACTTCCACCATTGTTGATAGGAATGCAAAAACAAACAAACAAACAAAAACACTGAAAATTGAGTTACCATAGGATTCAACAATCCCACTCTGGATAATTCTCAGAAGAACATAAATCACTCTACCAAAAAGACACCTGCACATATATGTTTATTACAGCACTATTCACAATAGCAAAATCATGGAACCAACACAGACACCCAACAAATTTGAAATGGATAAAGACAATGTGGTACATACACATGATGGAATAATACACAGTCATAAAGAAGAACAAAATCAGCAACATGAATGAGCTGGATACCATCAAACTAAGTGAACTATCACAGAAACAAAAAAATAGAATATCACTGGACACACAAACACAAAGGTGAGAACAACAGACACTGAAAACTGCTAAGAAAGGGAGAGTGGGAGGAGTTAGGAGCACACAGCCACACACTGAGCTTCAGTACCACTACCATGGGGAAAGAGGGCTCACCATAAACTTAGTGGCACACAATTTACTCGTGTAGTAAATTCTAACATATACTTCCCTCACAACTCTAAATTGAAATTAAATTATATGAAAAAGTATATTTTAAAACAACTTCTCTAACCACAGTGGAATAGAACTAGAAAATTAACTAAAAGAAGAAATCCCCAAATCAAGCAAATACATAGAAATTAAACATTCTGCTCCTGAATGATCTTTGGGTCAACAATAAACTCAAGATGAAATTTAAAAATTCCTTAAAATGAGTGACAGCAATAACACAAGTTATCAAAACCTCTGGGACACAACTAAAGCTGTACCCAAAGAATAATTTTTATTACTTAAGGCCTACATTAAAAAGACTAAAATATCACGTGCAACCTAACATCACACCTTAAGGAACTAGAAGAACATAAACCAAGCCCAAAGCTAAGAAAAGAAATAATGAAGATCAGGGTAGAACTAAACAAAGTTAAAACCAAATAAACAGGATGCAAAAGATCAATGAAACAAAAAGTTGGTTCTTTGAAAAGATAAATATCTCCCTGATGATTAGTGAGGTTGAACATTTCTTCATGTGTTTGTTGGCTGCTCGGATGCAAATCAAAACCACACTGAGATACCACCTAACTCCAGTCAGAATGGCAATTATCAACAACTCAAAAAATAACAGCTGCTGGAGAGGGTGTGGCGAAAAGGGAACACTTCTACACTGTTGGTGGGAGTGTAAACTAGTGTAACCTCTGTGGAAAGCAGTGTGGTGATTCCTAAAATCTCTCAATATAAACCTCCCATATGACCCCACAATCCCCCTACTAGGAATATACCCTGAAGAACTCAAATCACTCTATAAAAAAGATACCTGTACACGTATGTTTATCGCAGCATTGTTCACAATAGCAAGAACTTGGAAACAACCATGCTGCCCATCAAAAGAGGACTGGATTAAGAAAATGTGGTACATATACACGATGGAATACTACGCAGCCATAAAAAAGAACAAAATCATGAATTTTGCAGCAACCTGGATGGAACTTGAGTCTATAATACTGAGTGACCTCTCACAGAAACAAAGATCCGAGTATCACATGTTCTCACTCATATAATGGACCTTGAACATCCAATGTAATACTATAAGAAAATGACTGACAGTACTGGGAAACTATGGGGGGGAGGGAGTTGGGATTAACAGTAGCAAATATCTGCCTGGAGAAGGGGAAACACCTCCCTGAATGAAACATAATTGTACACCTAACCCTTAACTGTACCCCACAAAACCATAACAAAAAATATTGATTTAAAAAAATAATCATAATAAAATAAAATGGTATAAATATTGAAAAAAAACAAAAAACACACAAAAAAGAAAAGATAAACAAAATTGGTAACTCACTAGCTAGGTAATTAAGAAAAAAGGATTCAAATGAGTTCAATCTTAAATGAAGATCGAGACATTGCAACTGATACCACAAAAATATAAAATATAATCTGAGATGATTATGAAATACAGACTAGAGAATATAGAGGAAATTAATTAAATCTTGGGGAAAAAAAAACCTACGTACACCCATCTGTCAATCAGGAAGAAACAAAATTGAACAAATCAATAATAACTAGTGGCATTTAATCATTAATTAAAAGACGCAAAAAAAAAAAAAATCCATAACCTGATGAACTCGTAGTCAAAACCTACCATACTTTCAACAAAGACATATCATTTTACTGAAGCAATTTCATAATTGGAAAGAAGGGAATTCTCCCTAACTCATTCTACAAAGACAGCATCACCCTTACAACAAAGCCAGAAAAAGACACAACAGGGAAAAAAAAAAAAACACAGACCAATATCTCTGATAAACATAAACAAAAAAAAACTCGACAAAATATTAATAAACATGATTCAACAGCACATTAAAAAAATCCACCATGATCAAGTGGGCTTTATCCAAGCAATGAAAGGATGTTTTAACATATACAAATCAATAAACATGATTCACCACATAAACAGAATTAAAAACAAAAATTATATAATCATACTAATAAATGCAGAAGGAGCATTTGATACAACCCAGCATCCTTTTATTAAATATACATGTATGTATATATTTTAAAAATATATTCTTCATCCTGAATGGAGAAATTTGAACTCATTTCCCCTTAGAACAGAAATAAGGCGAGGATACGCACGGTCACCATTACTATTCATCATAGTACTAGAAGTCCAGCATAGCAATCAGGCAAGAGAAATAAATCAAGGGCATTCAGATTGGAAAATAAGAAATCAAACTATATCTGTATGCTAAAGATAAGATCTTACACCTAGAGAATTATAAAGTCTCCTTCTAATGACTACTGGACTTGATAAGGGAATTCAGTACTGATAAGGGAATTCAGTACTGATAAGGGAATTCAGTAACGTCTCAGAACATGCAATCAACACACACAAACTCATAGCACTGCTATAGGCAAATAGCAATCAAGCTGAAAAGATTCCAGTTTAAAAGCCAACCTCTCTATGATGATTCAAATTAAAATATTTGAGTTCTAAGCCATTCTATGACATTTACTTTGCATCATTTGTGAGATATTTTTCAAAACCTTCTATAGAGTTCATGTCCTCAGGAAATAACTTCCTTTTAATGTTGGTATCTTTACAATTCACCTTCAGATATAAAGAGAATGTTATGAAATTATCAAGAATTCATCACAATCAGCCAGTAAAGCCCCTGGATCGAGCAGTGTTCTGGATCGAGTTTGTCATGCGCCACAAAGGAGCCAGACACCTGCGGGTTGCAGCCCACGACCTCACCTGGTTCCAGTACCACTCTTTGGATGTAATTGGTTTCCTGTTGGCCTGTGTGGTTACTGTGATATTCATCATCACAAAATGTTGCCTGTTTTGTTTCCGGAAGTATGCTAAACCAGGAAAGAAGGGGAAAAGAGATTAGTTGTATCAAAGGCCTGAAGCTGAGAGACCTGATAGATGAAACTTCTCCAATTTCTTCCAGCAGGAAGAGGTTATATGATGTTAGATTCTCTTTATTCTGTGATGAAACATTTTTTCACAATTTACTTTGCTCAGAATTTGTTTATAGAGGTTTAATAATTATGCAAAAGCTGTAAATATTCGATCAAAGATTTCAAAACTAGAAAAAAATAGTATATAATCATATTGGTTATATTGAAATGTATGACTCAAATACCCAAGTAATAAAAAGAATAGTGAACTAATGAAAGAAATGAGTGAGCTAGTGAAAAAAAACTGTTTCACATGTTGTACAGGTACACAAGAACATTAAGAAATCCACTCATGATATCAATACTGTTTTGCAAATATTCAGAATATTTTGACTCTATGCTGAGTAGAGTTTTCTCATTTTAAGTGTTGCAGTGATATTATTAGACAGATAAATTATACAAAATTCTTACTCCTGCTTTTTGATATTATGTGTCCAGTAGTGGTACTTGGATTATATGGTACATCCAGTGTCAGCATTGTTTTATTTCAAGAAGACATGACATGATGTTTACCTTTTTCCAGCTTAAGTCATTTTCTAGGTGAAATATATGGAATTAGAAAATGCAATCTCCAAATTGCTTCCTATTGAACATTGAACTATTGGGGTAATTCTTTGGTTCCAGCAACTTGCTGTGTGTGTGTGGGGGGGGGGGGGTGTGTGTGTGTATTAAAAGCATTTCCCTGGTTTCCTTCATTCTCATTTTCAGCCTCTGAAAATAGATGTAAGGTCTCAATTTTAATGACTGATAATATAGAAACTGCACACTAAGGATGTTATTCAGTTTTGATTCTTTCCAAATGTGTGTTTATAAGTCGACTTCCTCCAAGCAAGACAAAGCATAATTTAGATTTCTTACTGATATAATGAGGAACCAAATTGTTGATGGCACTTTGAAATAATGATTATTAGTTGATATAAGCATATTGTAGATGAGTCTAATTTTCTTCTCTTCCCTCAGAAGACTATTGTCCCAGGCTCCTAGAATCCTAAAATAGAAACATTACATTTTTTAGCATGTTCAAAACAATATAATGATCATTTTCTTTTAAACTTAGACACAATGTGACTGATCCAAATCAGTAACAATGCAAATAATATATAAAAACTGCATATTTTCACACATCTTTATAATTTTATGAAAAATGGGTAAATCAAACATCAAGAGTGCTCAAAGCCCTCATGAAAAACACATATCAGGGAAATGGTTTGTGATCAAATTGTTGTAGTTTGACAAAAACCAAAGTGTCTTTATTGGTGAGAAGACCATCATCCAAATTGCACAACACATATTCTCTGACTTATGACATTACTTATTCTAAAAATAAATTAAAATGTTAATGCTAAGGGATTTATAGAAAGAGTTTAGAGCAGATTTTTTCCTACAATTAATCTAGATAATTGACACGTTTTAAAGATAAATAAAATGAATATATTGTCATAGTAGATAATATTGTTAAATAGATATATGAGTCTGAATTAACTGTCCTTAAATTTATCCTTCACCACATGCAACAGACAAAAAACTATTACCAATTTTATACTGAGATCTGCTACATATCACCAATTAAAAGACAACACACCAGTATCAATATAGATGGGACATATAAACAGGCAATTCAAAGAGGTAAAAAGTGGCTAATCACATATAAACGACGGCAAAAGTCATTGATACTAGGGAATTGGACATTAAATCAATAAATTATTTTCTCACAGAAAATTGGTCAAATGTAAGAGTCTGAGAAATTGTTTTTGAGAGAGTGTCGTGGAATAACACTTTTAAAAAATTACTATTTTACCCTGCTAATCTACATCTAATTTTCTGTCATCAGATATGCTTGCACCTGAACACATGTACAAACACAATGTTTCTTCCATTATATAAATTGCTATAGGTCTCACATACCTTATATACCTTCAACAAAAAACTAGATGCATGCAGCAATTACAAAGAAAAAGTAAGTTACAATTTCATTAAATGTTCTCCTTGTTATATTGCTAAATTTAAAAAGTTGCAGAAAAATAAGCTATATAATAATCTTCTTAAGAATAAAATAAAATATATGTAAATGTAGAGGAATTGATCTGGAAAAATACACAAATGATAAGAATTTAAGTTTTACTTGCTATGCTTTATTTTCTAATTTTTCATAAATCTGTTTTTGTTATTAATTATATGGATTAAACAATTAATTAGTTAAATAAGCATATTGATTCAAGCTAGCAAGTTCCAAGAATTTAATATCATGTTATCAATTCATTTATGCGTTGAGAATAAATGAAATTATCAAATATCTGCTATTCTATGTTTGACCAATTTAGAACCTGTTTTAGGACTTTTATTTGACATTTAAAATATATGTGAATAAATATATTACAGTGTTCGTTAAAACTTTCTAAAGTGGTAATACATCTAAATACATAATTTTAATGACTTCACTGAGCTTTTATGTCAATATTGAATGAATTTTACAGTAGCTTTGTGATTTCCTATTTTTAAATTTTGATTCAGGGAGTACAGGCACAATTTCTACATAGAAATATACACAATGAAATATTATGCAGCCATAAAGAAAGACAAACATATGGACTTCACAGCAACTTGGGTGGATTTGGAGTCGATCATACTCAGTGATCTAACACAGAAACAAAGAACAGAGTACCATATGTTCTCACTCATAAGCAGAACTTGAGCAAATATAATACTATAAGAAAGGGATTGACAGTAGTGGGGAAACTGTCAGGGAAGGGCGGTGGGATTGGCAGTTGAGGGAAACCGCTAGGGAAGGGAGGGGCATACCTCAACAACAAGGGTACCTGCATAATCACCATTTGTATACCTAACCCTGAATTGTACCCCACATCTTTATAATAAATAAATAAAGATTTAAAAAAAGAAATAGTACATGATGTGGGGCTTGGGCTTCTATTGAACCCATCACCCAGGTGATAGACATTAGTACCTTGTGGATACGTTTCAGCCTTCACTCCACATATGGCATTAAGTTTCCTGTTTCTATAATATTCATTCCAGATGATGGTCTATAACTGCATCCATGTTGATGCAAAGGAAATGATTTTATATTTATGGCTGTGTAGTATTCCATAGTATATATGTACTGAATTTTTATTATCCCTTCCGGCATTGATGGACACCTAGATTGGTTCCATGTTTTTGCTATTGTGGATAGTGCAGCAATAAACATGCACTTAAAGATATCATTTTACCCTCAACCTCCTATATGACCCCGCAATCCCCCTACTGGGAATATACCCTGAAGGACTCAAATCACTCTATAAAAAAGATACCTGCACACATATGTTTATCGCACCATTGTTCACAATAGCAAGAACCTGGAAACAACCATGCTGCCCATCAAAAGAGGACTGAATTTAAAAAATGTGGTACATATACATGATGGAATACTATGCAGCCATAAAAAAGAACAAAATCGTGAATTTTGCAGCAACCTGGATGGAACTAGAGTCTATAATACTGAGTGACCTCTCACAGAAACAAAGATCTGAGTATCACATGTTCTCACTCATATAGTGAACTTTGAACATCCAAGGTAATACTATAAGAAAAGGACTGACAGTGGTGGGAAACTATGGGGGTGGGAGGGGAAGGGAAATGGGATTAACAGTAGTCAATATCTGTTGGGAACGGGGAGAAACCTCTTATCAACAAGGGTGCCTGAACGAAGCATATTTGTATACCTAACCCTTAACTGTACCCCGCAATATCAAAATAAAAAACATTGATATATATATATTTATCAATGTATATATCAAAAGATATCATTTTAGTAGAGCTATTTGTTAGTAGAAATACTAATGGGCGTAATCCTAGAAGTGGGATTATTTTGTTGAGTCGTAAGTCTGATTTTAGCTCTTTGAGAAATTTCCAAACTACTTTCCACAGGCATTAACCAGTTTGCATGTACAGCGACAGTACAGAAGCATTTCCTTTTCTCTGCCTCTTCTTGTCTGCCGGCAATTCCTAAGACTCATATTTGAAGTCATATTTGAGACATAAATGCAAATTCTTTGACAATTCTCCCATTGAATCATGTCTATTTCTGTGAAACTGTTTCAAGAAAAAGAATGCAGTGGGAGTGAGGCAGTTTAACTTTCAAAGCTCAGTAAGAAAAGTCAATACATTTTCTCACTGTCTGTCTCTCTGTTTTTCTCTCTGTGTATCTCTTTCTTTATCATATTCTTTCTCCCTCCTGACCTCCATCTGCACACACTTTGGAGCCCTGTCTGTGCCTGCAGTCTTAAGAATAAATAGACTATTGGGTGACAAGGCACATAATTATGCCTAGGAAGTCCTAATTCCTACGTCACCCCAGTAGTTTGAGGGTTTTGATATTATTCACTACATATGTGAGTGACCTTCAGATGATTACAGACCCTGCCACCTTATGACAGAAGCAACGTGAGAAATATTATACAATAATCACCTATCTGAGCCTGGCCAACAACTAGAACTATAAGAGATGATGATTTTAAAAAGTTGTTCTAGGTGGGCTCGGTGGCTCAGCCTGTAATCCCGCACCTTTGGGAGGCTGAGGTGAGTGGATTGCCTGAGCCCGTGGGTTCGAGACCCGCCTGGGCAGCGAAACCTCATCTCTACAATAAATAAAAAAATCAGCTGGGCGTGGTAATGCATGCCTGTAATTCCGGTTACTTGGAAGGCTGAGGCCGAAGGATCGCTGGAGCCCAGCAGGTCGAGACTGTGGTGGCAGGGAGCGGCCACTGCACTCCAGTCTGGGCAACAGAGTGAGACTCCAACTTAAAAAAAAAAAAAAAGTTGTTCTAAGTGCCTATATTTGAGGGCAATGGTAATGAAGTAATAAATAACAAAAATAGTCTACATTTTAAGTTTATATTTGTAATAATTTAATTAATATATAGCTACAATATATGGAAAGCTATGTTACATTTTGAAATTAACGTAATCCAAAAATTGGTGTCAGCATAGCATGGTGTTTAAGAGCTTTGCAAGTCTGGACACAG